CTCTCCTTGCGGGCCGGTTTTTCCTGGAAACAGCTTAACTTTGTCTCAAAGTATTCCCGACTATCGCAGAGGTGGGAAACACGGATCGCTACGCGCACTGTGGAAAACTTTCTAAACAAAAACTCCGCAGTTTACCCGGCGTGCTTCCCCAGCCCCGGCCACCTCCTTTCTGCCTTCATGATCAGGTAGAAGTATCCAGAGAGTTTCCGCCCGTGCGTGTCCTCCTGTGGTTTCACCTGTGAGTAAGTAAAGTGTTGGGCAACATTTAAATTGCGCTGACTTCCTCCTCCCTCCGATGAGAACAGCCCAGTTAAACATCAAACACGAGCGCGGGTCTGGTTTCACCCCACACACTGTAAGAAACAAAAAGCAGGTGAACAAACGAATAAAAACAAAACACGAAGCAGATCAGCAACAGACTGCACGGCTCTGCTGACTTTACTCGGCTTTGTAAAGGAAAGAAACACGGAAGGTAATGTTGACATGACATACAGTTCAACATATGAAGCCCACAGAACTTTACTTCTGTTTGGGTCAAGTTGAGCTGATATATTATTACAACACTGTAAACACTTTGTAAAGTAAGTAAGTAAAGTTTATTTATTAAGCGCCTTTCATAGACAGGTAGTCACAAAGCGCTGTACACAAAGATTAAAATAAACAGTACGATATAAATGTACAATATACACAATATAAGAGGTTAAATGTAAATTAAAAATGTAGAAAGCGTTGGTAACCGAAGGCTTGTTTAAACAGTAAATTAAAAAGGTGGACAAACAGAAGTTTACGTGGTTGTTTAGTTTCAATATTAGTTTCAATATTAAGTTCACAAACTTCATAATTCAGACTTTTATTTACTTCTGTTTGGGTCATGTTGTCCCAAGTTTTCACAACTTTATTATAGTTGTTGGGTCAACTATAATAGGTTAGTTAGCCAGGCTGTTGCAGTGGAGTAAGTCATTATTTGATTTCTCAGTTAAAGAAATGAATAATCTCTACATTTTATGGTAGTATTCTTTTTATGGAGATAATGACAGAATATCAACCAACGATCCAGAAAACACACTCCTTATATAAATAAAAGATGTAGATTTATTTTCACATCATTACTACTTGGTGGAGCAACTCTAACATAACATTACAACACTGTAAAAAGAACAACAAGTTGAACTTTTTTTTGGGGGGGGGGGGGTCTGAACTTCCTAAAAATGCTGGGCAAGCAGAAGTTTACTTTGCCATTTAGTTGACAAAACATACACGCAGTTCAAAATATTAAGCTGCCTGAACTTTATAATTCACACTTATTTACTTCTGTTGGGCCAAGTCAGCCTAACATCACAACCCAAACATTTTATGCACAAACATTTATTTTATTTTAAACAAATATGCAGATATTTGGAATGATGGAGGCAGGTGCAGGAAATTTTCCACAGAGACTGAAGTGTCTCTCTGATTTCTTTGTATAGTCCATATCTTAAACTGATTACTGATTAATGGAGCACTGCTGAAACTGTCCAATCACGGGTCAAAGGCAGCTGGAAACATGTCTGATAACACAGACAGTATTGAGAAAGAAATATAAATATTTTCAGTCCCAAGTGGTTCTGTGTTGAAGTTGCAATTTCATGATTAAAGTTGTTTTTTAAGTCAAACAGCTGCCACAGCTGCTACATCATCTACAAAATGTCTTGTGTTGAACTTTAATCTCCACATTTTCACTTTTCTTTATCAAAAAGAACAAGAATATGTTGTTCGTAATGTAGCTCTAATGCTCTTTTATAGCCCGGTAATCTGATTATGTGTATATAGCTATAGGAGTGAAACAGGTTGTAGTATTTACTTTCCAACGTCAGCGTACTTGTTTGTTCCTCTTTCCCTTTTGTTAAAAGCTCTGTATGTTCTCTGTAATGAATCAGGCATCTGCTTTGAGCTGAACATCTGGACTGTTGAATTTGTGTGTTCATTCATTCACAGATTTTAAATTCATGGCATTATTTGCCATCTCAACTAGTTCAGTTAAACATTAACATTGACAATGTTCCAGTGCATGATCGGTCCTAATGTGCCTCCTTTACACATCCTCTGCCTCGAGTTTTTAGTGAGAATAGAAGCAGCAATTGAAACGCTGTTCAGTTCAGTACAAATAAACATTTAAGATTTATACCGAGCTTGTGCTGAAGATAAAAATGAAGTTCCTGCACAATCAGAAATCCTGAAAACGACTTCAAACAGGACAGAAATGTGCACTTTTAGCCACAGTTGTTCATTTGGATGACGGAGAAGTCAAAGGTGGAATAAACTAAATATGAAGGAGGTGAGTTCATCACCAGGCCCGGGGAAGAAAATCTGACTGCTTTTCCTCCTTTTTAAAGGTAATCAGTGATGAATGCGGGGCCATTCTTTCTCTATAAACATGAAGTACACTCGAGTGCATAAACCCTAAAAGGCTGACTCCTTGAAGTGATGAAGGCAGGCTGAAGCAGATTAGATAAAAGCTTTGAGGACCTTCTCGCTGTGATTGAGTATTGTCAGATACCGTCAATTAAACTGCCGAGCTCCATCGAGCGTCACTGGCAGCCAGATGTTAACTGTCAAAACTAAAATTGAGGTTGATTGTTCATTATGGTACTGATGCCTCTTAATTATGTGACATTGTGTTCAGGCTCCAGTTTGTAGATCTCAGTAACGACAAACTGTCCGTTTGACTTTGAGATCATGAGCAGCATCATGAGGCGAGGAATCATCACAGCTGTTTGAGGTTAAAGGAAAAAAAGAGCAGACATGACGTGATAAGGACTCAACTAACAGCTGATTATTTTAAAGGAAAAAAAAGCAGCCAAACGTCAGACACAAGGCCGACTTTCAGCCTACGCACAGTTCATATTCCTAAAGTGGATAAAGTGAATCATGAGTGAAACTACAGATAATGTGCAGAACATAATTTTTTAGCAGTTTTTCACAACCCACTGTGCAAAATAAGCAGGTCAAATATCTAAATAACACCAAGACTGGGTTAAAAACCCACAGGAAACAAAGCTTTGTTTCAGGCTGCAGAAATGAGGAAGATTTCCCTTTACATCCAATCTGGCTAATGAGTGAAAGGAACTTCCTCCTCCCAATCACCTCTGCAAACTCCAAACAGGATGTGCACAAAACTTCAGGAAAAAATATTTAGTTTGCTAATTCATTCCGGCCATTATCTTCTCTCTCTCTCTCTCTCTCTCTCTCTCTCTCTCTCACACACACACACACACAGTCTTTTTATTTTTGTTAGCAGTGAAACACAGATGGTGAGAACTGCAGTCAATCTAATGGCCACTAGAGGCTGGCTCCCATAGACTCTTATTTTAAAACGTCAATCAAACATAAGAGTGAAACAGAAACCCTAAAAGGATGACTCCTTGAAGTGATGAAGGCAGGTTGAAGAGGATTAGATAAAAGCTTTGAGGACCTTCTCGCTGTGATTGAGTATTGTCAGATACAGGCTGGCTCCCATAGACTCTTATTTTAAAATAGAGAAGCAAACATGTTATTATAGCTATGGAGGATTTCTCCCTTCACATATGAAAATAATTCTGACCTATGTGTACACTCTTTATTTCTACACAGTGCTGTGCAAAAGTCCAATTTTTTTATAAGTTGCTTCCAAAGAACCAGAATTAATCATTTCTGAGAAGTGTGTGTTTGATAAGCTACTTAACACTAATCTATGAGTCATTCAAGTGGAAAGAAAAGCTCCTAACTCGGGGATGAACCAGTGTTGTGTCAACAAATAAAA